CACGCACACACGCACACACGCACACACCCACACACGCACACACGCACACACGCACACACGCACACACGCACACACGCACACACGCACACACGCACACACGCACACACGCACCACACACGCACCACACACGCACCACACACGCACAGACACACGCACAGACACACGCACAGACACACGCACAGACACACGCACAGACACACGCACAGCACACACGCACACTAGCACACACGCACACACGCACACACGCACACACGCACACACGAACGCACACACGCACACACGCACACACGCACACACGCACACACGCACACACGCACACACGCACACACGCACACACGCACACACGCACACGCACACACGCACACTCGCACACACGCACACACGCACACACGCACACACGCACACACGCACACACGCACACACGCACACACGCACACACGCACGCACGCACACACGCACACACGCATACACGCACACACGCACACACGCACACACGCACACACGCACACACGCACACACGCACACACGCACACACGCACGCACGCACGCACGCACACACGCACACACGCACACACGCACACACGCACACACGCACACACGCACACACGCACACACGCTCACACGCACACACGCACACACGCTCACACGCGCACACGCGCACACGCGCACACGCGCACACGCGCACACGCGCACACGCGCACACGCGCACACGCGCACACGCGCACACGCGCACACGCGCACACGCGCACACGCGCACACGCGCACACGCGCACACGCGCACACGCTCACACACGCACACACGCACACACGCACACACGCACACACGCACACACGCACACACGCACACACGCACACTCGCACACGCGCACGCACGCACACACGCACACACGCACACACGCACACACGCACACACGCACACACGCACACACGCACACACGCACACACGCACACGAGGGAAAAAAAAAAAACACAAACACACACACACACACGTGGTTTGTGTTACATTTGTGTGCTTTGTGTGTGTGTGCTTGTGTGTGCTTTGTGTGTGCCTTTGGTAGTGTGTGGTTTTGTTGCTACTCCACTGGGCCAAACAATCGTATGAAGGGGGGGCGACTGAGGGTAGGGGTGCGGGCGGGGGGGGGCAGGCGGGGACGAGCTCCGAGCCTTCCGGAGAAGGCCCTACGTGGTAGACGGCCCAAATGAGCGCCGAGGCACGCCATAGAGTGCGTCAAGACGGCCACGAGTAAACTCGTCGGCCCTCCTCCTCCTCCTCCTTCCTCCCCTCTCCTCTCCTCCGCTCCTCCTCCGCCTCTGCCTCTTGCCTCCTCCTACTCCTCCTACCTCCTCTCCTCCTCCTCCTCCTCCTCCCCCTCCTCCCCCTCCTCCTCCTTCTCCTCCTCCCTCCTAACTCCGAGAAGGTCCACGATGGCTTCAAGGCGGCCTGCGAGGCCCCCTGAACGGCCCAAGAGTGCGGCCGCCGAGGGGCCCAAAAGGCAAGAATCCCTTCCTCGCTTTCGAAGAACGTGCGCGTTCGACACACACTTTTGATCTGCGGGGCGAGAGCGAACCTCTTCCGCTAAAAGCTAGGCGGGCTACGCACAGCTTTAATTAGGGAGACAGGGCTCAGGAAGGCGGGGCCTCAGGCGGCTGGAGCGGGCGGGGCCCGGGGAACAGGCGGTGCCGAAGTGGATGTGCAGGAAAAGGTACGGCGTTCGACACACACGCTGTGGTCGTTTTGACGACGTCCACTACGGCCCAAGGAGCCCCAACGATCGTCCCAAGACGGCCCATGAGGCCCCCAAGAGGGCCCCGAGACGGCCCAGTAAAGCCCAAAGGTGGCCCACGAGGGCCCCAAGAGAGTCCCAGGGGCCCCTGAGGCGGCCCAGGAAGGCCCCAACAGTGGCCCAAGAGGAGCAATACGAACTGACATCTCCAGTCTCTCCCGTCGCGCTGGCTCCAAGAGCCCCCAAGACCCCCCAAGGACCCCGAGGCGCCCCCAAGAGGCCCCAAGTGAGGTCCAAGAGGCACCCAGGAAGCCCCCTAAGAGGACCCCGAAAGCCAATCAGATGCCCCCTCCAAGAGCCCCCTGCGAGGCATTCCACAAGACCCCTTTATATGCATCCCCAAGGCTCCTGACCCACAAGCCAGGCACGGTGGCACGACTCTTGACGAATTCACTGTTGTTGGGGCCAGCGGAATGGCGTAAGCGTCTTGAGTAATTGCTATGTGTGACGAACGCACAACACGCACTCCCATACCCGTAGGCGGGGTCGTTTTGTGTGGGTATTGTCGGACACCGGGGGTGCTCCCGTTCGAGCGGGGACCCTCATTCGACAAAACGCGCCCATAGCCCTCTCCGACCCCCCCCTATGGGTACAGTCGAGGTACTATCAGAAGGACCGCGAAATAATGAACGAAGCCCCTTCTTGGCCCCAGAAACGCCTAGGTGCACGAGGAGTGATGGAGGAGGAGCCATGCAAGAGCTCCAGGAACAGCGAGCCCCTTCCGCACCCGAGACGTTCCTTATTTCAGCGTTTTGGCTGTATGGATGTGTGTGTATGTGTGTGTATGTATGTGTGTGTGTGTATGTGTATGTGTATGTGTATGTGTATGTGTATGTGTATGTGTATGTGTATGTGTATGTGTATGTGTATGTGTATGTGTATGTGTATGTGTATGTGTATGTGTATGTGTATGTGTATGTGTATGTGTCAGTGTCTGTGTCTGTGTCGGTGTCGGTGTCGGTGTCGGTGTCGGTGTCGGTGTCTGTGTCTGTGTCTGTGTCTGCGTCTGCGTCTGCGTCTGCGTCTGCGTCTGCGTCTGCGTCTGTGTCTGTTGTCCTGTGTCTGGGTCTGTGTCTGTGTCTGTGTCTGTGTCTGTTCTGTGTCTGTGTTTCTGTGTCTGTGTCTGTTGTCTGTGTCTGTGTCTGTGTCTGTGTCTGTGTCTGTGTCTGTGTCTGTGGCTGTGTTGTGTCTGTGTCGTGTCTGTGTCTGTGTCTGTGTCTGTGTCTGTGTCTGTGTCTGTGTCTGTGTCTGTGTACTGTGTGTGTGTGTGTGCGTGCGTGCTAGTGCTGTGCGTGCGTGCTGTGCGTGCTAGTGCGTGCGTGCGTGCGTGCTGTGCGTGCGTGGGTGTGTGTGGTGGGGTGTGGGTGTGGGTGTGGGTGTGGGTGCTGGGTGTGGGTGTGGGTGGTGGGTGTGTGGGTGTGTGTGTGTGTGTGTTGTCTACGCTTGGTTTCTTTTATATATCGTGTGTGTGTGTGTGTGTGTTGTGCGCTCGTCCCCCGGGCCCCGCCCGCTCCGGCCGCCTGAGGCCCCGCCTTCCTGTGCCCTGCCTCCCTGATTGAAGCTGTGCGTAGCCCGCCTAGCTTTTAGCGGAAGAGGTTCGCTCTCGCCCCGCAGATCAAAAGTGTGTGTCGAACGCGCACGTTCTTCGAAAGCGAGGAAGGGATTCTTGCCTTTTGGGCCCCTCGGCGGCCGCACTCTCGGGCCGTTCAGGGGGCCTCGCAGGCCGCCTTGAAGCCATCGTGGACCTTCTCGGAGTTAGGAGGGAGTTAGGAGGGAGGAGGAGGAGGAGGAGGAGGAGGAGGAGGCGGAGGAGGAGGCGGAGGAGGAGGAGGGAGGAGGAGCAGGAGGAGGCGGGTAGGAGGAGGAGGAGGAGGCGGAGGAGGAGGAGGAGGAGGAGGAGGAAGTGTGTCGTGCGCTCGTTCAGTGTCAGCCTCTGCTCACAGCGTGAGGCCCCCCGCCCACCCCACCGCGCCTGGCACGCTGCGCCCACCTCGCCCTCGCGCTGCCGGGCTCGGTCGGCGGGCGCTCGGAGGTGCCACAGGCCTCTCCCAGCCTCGGCGGCGCAGAGGCCACGAGAGACAGGAGCAGGAGGAGGAGGAGGAGGAGGAGGAGGAGGAGGTGGTCCTTCTCCTCCCCCCCTTTCCCCCCTTCTTCTTACTTCTCCCCTGGGAAGAAGGCGCTGGGGCGGGTAAGCAACGAGGACAGCGGAAGAGAGGGCCGTGAGAAAGATGAGTGAGGATGAGGGAGAAGGATGGCGCCGCTGGGCGGCGCCGTGGTGTACTCCGTGACCCTAGGGTCACACGCGGTGCATTGCGGATTTCACCGCCTTTGACGAATCTGTCATGCTCTGCTGTGATTGCGGAAGCTACACGACCGATGGTCGGCCTGTACACTTACAGGTGCCGTGTGGCGTAAAATGTCCATCCAACGATCCGAAAGCCACTTGGCACTGCGTGGGCACATGCGAGCACCAGTCTCGTAAGTCCGCGTCGGCCAAGGTGCCGGAGCCCGCCTTGGCGTTGGATAGGCGCCGCGCGTGAGGTAGGACAGGGTGGCGTGGGAGTGCGCTGGGGTACCGTCCCTCTCCTTCGTGGGTTCGGGCCTCGCACCTGCACTCTCACGCTGGCTTGTTTCGTCTCTGCCGCCCGAAGTGTCCAGCTCATTTCATCTCATATCCCTCTCCTTCTGCCCAATCCGCGCCCTCCCTCATCTCCGTACCGGGGGAGGGAGCAGGAGGAGCAGGACTAGGAGCAGCAGGAGAATCCGCGCCCTCCCTCATCTCCGTACCAGGGGAGGGAGCAGGAGGAGCAGGACTAGGAGCAGCAGGAGAAAGGAGGGATAGTTTTGACCCGGCAAGGGACCAGCCGCAGGCGCACTGGCCAGAAGGTTGAACATCTCAGATCACCTCCACCAGCTGGCAGCCGCAGAGGACGAGCGATACCGACCGCTCACCGATGAAGGCCTCCCCGTGCTTCCCGACGTCCGCGAGGCCCCAGTCGACGATCCGAGAGCACCGAAGGAGCCGTGCGAACCGCTCCGGCTCTCGGGGCACAGGGGATGAGAAGAGCCGACAGCCGCCTCGCCGCCGTCAAGGACCGCCGAAGGCGGAGGCCTCGCGGCCTCCTCGCCATTGAGCTGCGCCTTCCTCTGTAAATGAAAGCCTCCTCCAGGCCCCATCCACCCACCGAGAATGCAGGGGTTGTGGCCCCAACTAGCGTAGGAGTCGACGTCGAAACCGCTCCCGAACTCCGTGCTGGGCGATCCCAGCGCACCACCGCCTCGCCCTCCAGGAACAAGCCCTGCCGAGACGGGGCCCTCCACGACCAGCTGCACGCCCGGCGCCTCGCAGACCCCGAACGCCTCGACCAGAGGCTCAGGATGTGCCACCTCGCGCGCAGCATGTCAGGCCCGCGGGTGGTCGAGAGGCGACGCGTGAAAAAAAAACAACCTGATCAAACAAATCAGATCGCCCGTGTACAAGTGACGTGGCGTTTGGCTCTTGTTTAACCTGGCCAGGCAAGCGCAACGCGCTGCAATGCAATAGCGCCAACGCGGACGTCGCTGGCTGCATGAGCCAACGCGCCGCAGTATAATTTTTCATTCGGAAGAAATAAAATTGAAAAATGAGCGTCGAGGAATCACATGGATATCACTCTGGAGATGCGCTGACGTGAAGCATGCTCGACCAGATGGGCACGATGAGCCGCCGCAGGAGCGCCACCCGCACCCTGAACTCCGCCGCCCCGCGCGGAAAGAGCAACCCACACAGAGCACGGAGCTCGCCCGAAGAGCGCCGAGGCCGCTGCGGAGGCCGCCCTCCGCCGCGGGCGAGAGGCCCTCGCCCCCGGAGCCCCGCGGAGCTGCAGACGACGCCGCCGCGGGTGCACCACACCCCTTCGGGCGGACGCACCGAGGCACTCCTGCCTGGCTGCTCGGTCGTCGACCGCCAGCCCAACCTCGGGGGCGCGCAGGCATGGATTCGCGATCCATGGAGTTGGCGTGCGGTCGCCAAATCCATGGATCGGGGGAGGTGCCCTCCCCCAAATGCGGTCGGCGCCGCCTCGTCCGGCGGCAGAAGCCCGCGACTTCCCATGGAAACGGGACCCGTCGCTAATCCACGCCCCCTTGATCCATGTCTGCGATCGCCTGACAACCTGGGACCAACAGCAGCCCAGGCGATGCCGCCGACAGAAGCCGAAGCGAAACCCCCGAGCGGCACCCCCTTGGAGTGCCAGGCGGTGCTGCGGCGTCGGCTCCTGCCCCCAGGGCCGCGCCGCCCGCAGGCCAGCCGCCGAAGCGAAGGCCGAGAGGCGAGGTCGCGATCATGCCAGGAGCCAGGACAGCCGCCCGCGTCGGCGGAGCGCACCGCAGCCTCCGCCGCCGCGCAGAACGGCGCGCCGCTGCCGGGCCGATGGAATCGACGCGTCTGCTCGACGCGGAGCCGCATGCCACCGCGCTTTCGGGCCGCCCCCCGCCGCCATCTCCACCTCAGCGCCCCGCCCGCCGTCGCACCGCCAGGGCATGCCGACCGAGCCGGCTTGAGCGGTAGGGGTGTCGCCCGCTGGCGAACGGCTCGAGCAGCCACAATGGCAAACTGGCTACGACGGAGGAAGGGAGGGGGAAGAGAACATGAGGAGGAGGAGGAGGAGGAGGAGGAGGAAGAGGAGGAGGAGGAGGAGGAGGAGGAGGAGGAGCAGAGTGCGAGGAGGAGGAAGAGGATGAGGAGGAGGAGGAGGAGGAGGAGGAGGAGATGAACGAGTGGGGGAGGGGGCGAGGATCTCGCCAGCCCCCAGCCTTCGGTCATATCTCGGCTCTCCAACGGCCGTTCGGAGCGATCCGGGCACACCCCGAACGCTCACGGCGAGGCGCAGCCGCTGGAGAACACCCCAAGGCTGGAAAACGCTTGAAAAAACCAAACATCGAACCTCGAACGTTGCCCTTGACTCTTCCTCCCTGTCCCTGACGCTTCCGCGCCCCCCCGCCCCGTCCCACCTCCGCCTGAAAGGGAGGAGCAGGAGGAGCAGGAGCAAGAGGAGGGAGGGACCAGGAGGGAGATGAGCAGGAGGAACAGGAGGAGGAGGCGGAGGAGGCGGAGGATGAGGAGGAGGAGAAGGAGGAGGAGGAGAGGACGAGGAGGAGAAGGAGGAGGAAGAGGAGGAGGAGGAAGAAGAGAAGGAGGAGGAAGAGGAGAAGGAGGAGGAGGAGGATGAGGAGGAGGAGGAGGAGGAGAAAGATGAGGAAGAAGGAGGAGGAGGAGGAGGAGGAGGAGGAGGAAGACGTAAGAGGGGAGGAGGAGTAGGACGAGGTGGAGGAAGGAGGAGAAGGAGGAGCAGGAGGAGTAGGAGGATGAGGAGGGAGGGAGGCGGGCAGGCAGACAGGCAGACAGGCAGACAGGCAGACAGGCAGACAGGCAGACAGGTAAGAGGAGGAGGAGGAGGAGGAGGAGGAGGAGGAGGAGGATGAGGAGGATGAGGATGAGGAGGAGGATGAGGAGGAGGAGGAGGAAGAGGAGGAGGAGGAGGAGGAGGAGGAGGAGCAAAGGAGGGGTGAGGATCTCGCGCAGCGGACCGCCAGGCCTGCGAGGCAGCAGCCCCTGCAGAAGCTGCAACAGGCGGTCACTCCCAGAAGCGAGAGGACCGTCGCGAGCAGCAGAGGAGAGACCCTGTCGCTCAAGTCCACCGCCAGCCTGAGGCAAACGGTGGGGCAGGCGACGGAAGCCACGAGAGCAGGGCACTCCACCGCCTGGGACGGCCAGGAAGACCCGAACGCTGGGGCCTCCTGGTCCGTCAAGGGCAGTGGGCGGCCAGCGAGCCGCTCGAAGAGCGCGGCTCGCAGACCCTGGTAGAGCACAGCACCGTCCGCCTCCACCAACAGCTCGACGGCGCGCTGCATCAGCGGGCCGCGGGCCGAAGGGGGGGCGGCCACTCTGCCGAAATCCCTACAGAGACCGCGGGGGTGGGGGGGTCGCAGAGAATAAGAAGGACCAGGAGGAGGAGGCGGAGGAGGAGGAGGAGGCGGAGGAGGGGGAGGCGGAGGCAGAGGAGGAGGAGGAGGAGGCAGGTGGAGGAGGAGGAGGAGGAGGAGGAGGAGGAGACGGGGGAAGAGGAGGAGGAGGGGTCGCCGCCCCCCCCACCACCCCGGCGGCGACAGGCCTGGCCAGCGCGCCGTGCGCGGCCCCCGCGGGCGGCGGCAGCGCGGCGCCGCGGTCGGCGGGGCGGGGCTCGCCGGCGAGGGCGAGCGCGGCCCGCAGCGGGCGCTCGGGAGGCGGGGCGGGGAGGCTGCCTCCATGCTCCCTGCCTCCTTCCCTCCCTCCCCTCCGCCCTCTGTCTCCTCTCTCATCCCTCCCTCATCCCTCCCTCGCTCCCTGCCTCCCTCCCTCCGCTTTCCCTCCCTCCCTCCCTCCCTCCTTCCTCTTCTCTCCTGCCTCTTCCCTTATCCCTCCCTCCCTCCGCTCCCTCCATCCTACTCCCATCCTCCCTCCATCGTCCCTCCCTCCTCCCTCCTCCCTGCTCCTGCTTCCTCCCTCCCTTCTCCGACCCCCTCGGGCAAGGACAACAAATCACGGCAGGAGGCTCTTGTCCTTATGGTCGGCCTCTGGAAGCTCTGGCCGGCCCTCGGGACCGTCCAAAACCGACTCTGGATGGAAAACCGGTCCAGGGGAATGGGTCGAGACGTCAGAGGGTCGACGTCATGAAAAAATCATGGCGTCGGAGGTCTGGGTTTTCCCTGAGATCCTGGAGTCTCAATGTTTGAGCCGGGCGTTTGCGCCTTTTTCCGGGCCCCGGGACCCTCACAGATCGATCCAGCTCTGAAAATGGCGCAGAAAAATGAGAGCCGGGGCTCCAGGCATGATTTTACGATGTTGTATTTTCGCTACGTCGGATCTAATGGTTGCTCCCTCCCTCCAAGTTCCCTCTTCTTCGTAGGCCCCTGGACGAATCTCTCTCTCTCTCTCTCTTTCTCTCTCTCTCTCTCTATATATATATGTATACCTATACGACCACCCTTTGGGTGATAAGGAGGGTCGGGGGGGGAGGAGCCAACGTCTCACTCGATCGGTCTCACTATCGATCTCACTATCGATCTCACTGTCGGTCTCGCTCGATCGATCTCACTCGATCGATATCACAATCGATCTCACTCGATCTATTTCATTCGATCGATCTCACAATCGATCTCACTATCGATTTCACAATCGATCTCACATTCGGTCTCACGATCGGTCTCATTATCGATATCACAATCGATACCACAATCAACGTCATCATCGTCATCATCACCAACATCGTGGTCATCAACGTCACCAACAACATCATCATCATCATCATCATCATCATCCTCATCATCATCATCATCATCATCATCATCATCATCATAATCATCATCATCATCATCATCGGGACACCATCATCATCACCTCATCACCATCACCATCAACATCAACATCATCATCACCATCATCATGATCATCGGGACACCAGCATCGTCACCATCATCATCAACATCATTGTCATCATCATCATCGGGTCACCATCATCAAAGTCATCATCATCATCATCATCATCATCGGAACACAACCATCATCACCATCAGCATTATCACCATGAACAACATCATCAACATCAGCATCATCGGGACACCATCATCATCATCATCAGCAGCAGCAACATCATCATCATCATCAACGTCATCATCACTATCGGGACACCATCATCATCGTCACCATTGTCATCACCACCATCACCATCATCATCATCATCATCACCGGGACACCATCATCGTCAACATCAGCATCATCACCATCATCGGGCCACCATCATCAAAGTCATCAGCATCATCATCGTCATCCTCATCATCAACATCATCATCATTATCATCATCATCATCACCGGGACACCATCATCGTCATCATCACCATCGGGACACCATCCTTATCAGCACCATCATCATCAACAGCATCATCATCAAGCTCATCATCATCATCATCGGGACACCATCTTTATCATCATCACCACCTCATCATCATCGAATCATCATCATCAGTAACATCAACATCATCATCGGGACACCATCATCATCAGCAGCTACATCATCACCATCAACATCGTCATCATCATCATTATCATCATCATCATCATCATCACCATCATCATCGGGACAACATCATCATCACCACCATCACCATCATCATCACCAACATCGTCAACATCGTCAACAGCATCATCATCATCATCATCATCATCATCATCGAGACACCATCATCATCACCACCATCACCATCATCACCATCATCACCATCACCATCAACATCATCGACATCATCATCATCATCATCATCATCATCATCATCATCATCATCATCATCATCATCAGCATCGGGACACCGACGGGACACCTGCGGGACACCGGCGGGACACCGCGCCCCACTGGCCCCAGGAAAGGAAACATTTGGTCCGGCCGCGCCTCAGCCGGAGGCGGGACACCGGCGGGACACCGCGCCCCACCGGCCCCCGGAAAGGAAACATTTGGTCCGGCCGCGCCTCAGCCGGAGGAGACTTTCTTCTCGCCCGCCCACGCAGCTTCGCCTCGCCCGCACGCACGGCACGCACGAACACGAAACCGAAACCGATTTCCCGGTAGGGGGGCTCTCCGTTCCACTTCGATCTCACCCCCTCACCTCCGATATATATATATATACATATATATATATATACATATATATATATAT